GTTAACGTCTAAAGATACTTGCTATAACCAATACGATATCAAATTGTATTATAAGTAAGATATATAACATACGATTCACATGAACAATTATCAAATAATCGATATCGCAAATACAATATCAATTACAGATATCAAAACACTGACACACAAACAAAATTAGAGTTAAATTGCTTATTAAAGTATTAACACCTAGTCAATGTGAATTAGTAACGGGAAAAGTGGATATATATGTGTGTGTGTGTGTGTGTGTGTGTGTGTGTGTGTGTGTGTGTGTGTGTGTGTGTGTGTGCATCTCACCTTTTAGCTTTGAGCTTTCTGTACCTGTATTGTAACGCTATACCTCTTATTTATAATTACAAGGTCAGTTATAAAAAAACACAGGTACAGAGAACTCAAGGTTAGAGGGTTAAACTTATATACCCTTGACCACTAATGTGCACACACTCTTGTACACATAAAAATACACCAGTCACCCTTACACCTACACTACTCTACCTTCCACACAGACTAACTCTCTCTCTCTCTTCGCTGTCGTGTCATTAGTTATGAACTTTAGTGTGGATGGGTGTAGTCAGTTCTTCCCCTGCCTCAGATACACGAAATATTCCACACACACACACACACACACACACACACACACACACCCACATACCCACAAACACACACCTACATACCCACACCTACACAAACACACACACACACACCTACACGGGTTGAATTGAGTCTGGCAGGATTTGTTTACAAGGTTCAACGAAAAAGTACACAAAACAAGATCCCATTTATACCTTGTTGACAGAGTAGAGACGACACGTGTGGTGGACCGTACTACTGATGCTGGATAGAACATGGGACTTTTTCTGAGTTCCTCCGCCCAGTTTTATGTAGACTTTTGTATCTCAGTTCGTTGTTGATGGAGAATTTCACTCACTCACTCACTCACTCACTCACTCACTCACTGGCGGATAAAATAATAAATAACAGTTTTACTCTTTTCTTCATTAACAAATAACTCTAACGTTGTTGAAGACAATTTATCTTCTCAGTAAATACCATTTGTTGTCACTGTTTGAACTGTATTATTGGATATTGTTTTTGCTTTTATTTGTCTACGTACTTTTATTTTTCTCTTCAATATGCTTTTGTTTTTTGGCTCAATCCATATTTTTTTGTTCCTCTTATTCCATAGTTCTTTTGACAACGTTCTTTTATTAATTTATTTTTTGTCTTTTTTTAGGTTTTATTTATTTATATGTTTTCATCACTTTTATTTATATAAACAATACTTTTTCTTATCTCAATACTTTATCAATTTTCTTAATTATAATTAATGTCTATTTTTTATACTTTTATTTACTTCCCGTTGCTTTTATTTTGGTTTCCCTTTTTTTTCTTTAAGTTATTGTTATTTTTGTCTTCAATATTGATAAATGAGTCAAGACTCTGCTCAATCACACACACACACACACACACACACACACACACACACACACACACACACACACACACACACACACACACACACACACACACACACACACACACACACATCTTATCCTTCCTCTTTACATTTACGTCGACACTATGGAACGTTTCATTCATCCTTTCTTTAGAGAGTTCTATTGTTTGGTTTCATTGTTGAATTCTCTCTTTAGAAAGTTCAATTGCTTGCTTTCATTCATGTCGTTTTCAGCATTTTTGTTCCCAGTTTGAGTTTCTCATTTACCTGCCCAGTAACGTCATTCTTACCTGTACTTTAACCCTTTGAGGACGATTATTTTAAGCTCTCAGACTTTTATGGCGATGTTATAAAGTATAAGAATTTAAGGACGATGTTTTAACCTATAAGACTTTGATGACGAGGTTTAGTATATAAAACTTTGATGACGAGGTTTAGTATATAAAACTTTGAAGACGAGGTTTTAAACTAGAAGCATTTTAGGAACGATAATTTATGCTATGATCCTATAATCCAAGATGTTATTGTTCTTAGAGAATTATTCCTTTGCCCCTTTAAGGATAATGGTTCAAGAATAATGGTCTATGCTATTATTATTATTATTATTATTATTATTATTATTATTATTATTATTCCCTCTAGTTTCTCTCCTCATAGCTGCCAACACTCACACTCATAAATCCTGATATACCATCTGGTTGTCGTGAACCTCAGACCAAAGCTTCTCTCAAACATGCATCACCTTTACCACCTCTCCTCGCTCACCTGATAAATGATACGCTCAATCGCTCACACTTCCAATGACCTCAATACACACTATGGTTCCTTGCCTAATTACATTCTGCGTCTTCATTATCTTATTATTACTGGTTTCCCTTTCATTACATTAACCCGCTCGGAAATACAATAGATATCGTAAATGATCTTGAGTTTCGTGTTGTGAATGCCGATAGACTAAGTGTAATTTCATTTGGGGTTTCCATTTAGCGCGCAAAGCTCCCCCAGAAGAATCCCCCCCCGCTCTCCCCATCTCTGTTGGGCTCCAACTCCTGGGAGAGATATCAGTTTCTCCTGAAGGTGTAATCCTGAGAATACGCTAAATTATAATTTTTCCAAGTACTGTATACGTCTTAGGTGTGACATTTCTCTGTCGTTTTTACTCATATGTTTTGTGTTCGTGTCCATGTTACTACACATTGTAACAGATTGTAGATAAAAACACTGATGAACTGAACACGGTTAATAATTTTACTCATGTTCTTTTCTCTTATTTCAGAATGAGTGTTTGTCGTTACATTCATCCCGGTAGTGTCCATTGGTCGGCAGGCAGACAGCCATGAGTTGCCCGTGAGTCTGCGGTTCCTGCACGGAGGAGCCAGACAAGGTGACCACTGCCCAGAAGTTTCCTGGAGGCTCGTCATATACGTGCATCAGTGAAAAGTTGTGCCAAAAATAAGTTACTCAATCGAGAGTAATCTGCAGATCCCTCATGATGGCTTACCTCAGGTTGAACGAGAACGAGACTCTTCCGGTCTTTGTTCCCGCAGACCTCAACGTCACAGGACTAGAAGAGGAAACTATCGTCGCGGAAGATGTCGAGTGGAATTTGGATATCACGATGCCCATCTGGGAGGTGGTGCTGACGGTGGTCTCATTGAGCGTCATCATCATCTTCACCATCGTCGGCAACGTCCTCGTCATCCTGTCTGTGTTCACTTATCGGCCGCTGAGGATCGTGCAGAACTTCTTCATCGTCTCCTTGGCTGTGGCCGACTTGACGGTGGCGGTGTTCGTGCTGCCCTTCAATGTCGCCTACAGCATCATCGGCAAGTGGATATTCGGGATCCACCTGTGCGAGATGTGGCTTACCTGTGACATCATGTGTTGCACAGCGTCCATCCTCAACCTGTGTGCCATTGCCCTCGACCGGTACTGGGCCATCACCGACCCCATCAACTACGCCCAGAAGCGCACCCTGAAGCGTGTGCTGATCATGATCGGTTTGGTGTGGACTATTAGCGTCATCATCTGCCTCCCGCCTCTCTTCGGCTGGAATGACTGGCCAGAGACGTTCACGGAAGAGACGCCCTGTATACTCACACAGGAGAAAGGCTTTGTCGTCTACTCTTCGTCTGGATCCTTCTACTTCCCTCTCTTCATCATGACGTTGGTCTACATCAAGATCTTCACAGCCACACGACGAAGGCTACGAGAGAGAGCCAACGCCTCCAGACTAAACCAAATCCCAAACACTGGAAAGGCCAGAGTGACGCGGGAAGAGGACTCAGCGGTGAGCGAGAACGGACAGAATGGCTACAACGACAGCTGTAAGAAAAAATTAGTTCAAAAGAAACGACGAAAGAAGAGGAAAACGGTGACGGCTCAAACGACAGCCACCACGACCACGACATCGCTGGTTCCTCCTCCCATAGCCGAGAGTTCTATCACCGAGAACGACATAAGCAACCCAAAAGAAGATTGTTCTCCCGTGGAGGAGAAGAAGAGCTCAGATGTTGTAATCAAAGTCAACCCAAAGAGTGGCAGCCAAATCCATCAGTTCATCGAGGAGAAGCAAAAGATCTCGTTGTCGAAGGAGCGCCGCGCTGCCCGTACTCTAGGGATCATCATGGGCTCCTTCGTTGTCTGTTGGCTTCCTTTCTTCCTCATGTACGTCATCCTTCCCTTCTGCCCGACCTGTCCTGAGCCCAACATCAAGATTATCAACTTCATCGTGTGGCTGGGCTACATCAACTCCTCCCTCAACCCCGTCATATACACCATCTTCAATATGGATTTCCGAAGAGCATTTGCAAGAATCCTGAGATGTCCGAATGCTGCCACCATATAATTTACATCAGACTTTCTTCTTCCCTTTAACGTGTCAACTCTATCACCCTCACCTGGACTTCCATGAATATTTACTACGATCATGATGTAAACTAAACTCGTCATAGCCTACAGAGGTGTTATAATAGACCCTATTAACCGGTAGCCAGTGATATAGTGACGCTTCTTACTACCGGCAGAGGGCCATTAGGTGTATCTAGTGATGAACCAATACAATATACCAAAATAAACTCAAAAAACTTTTACTGTATCTTCAGTGAAGAATAAATAATTGTTGTCACGGAGTCAGCATAGAGTAGAAGACAGAAGTTGCTCATATACTGTAGTTCATCAACACTGGCTGGTAGTTGACAATAAAGGCATCTGGTGAGTGAGACGAGACTTCATATGTGTTGATGAGGACATGAGGTCATACTCCCTCACCTGTGTGTGTATACATATATAAATATAACCAAATGTACATAGCGGAGACACTTATGAAACAGAGGAGATAATTAAAGCATAGTTCAGGGAAATCTTGCGAAGGTGATAACTTATTTTTCTAAGAGTGTAAGTGGTGGACACCGGAAGTTGATGTTGTTTTGTCCGGCTGTTCGTTCACTGTCTTATGCAGCAGACGTTTTGCTTAGCATTGAGATGAACCACATGTTAATTGTATCTGTTTAAATTTTAATGAAATTGTTTGTCAGTTATTGTTCCCAATATATATATATATATATATATATATATATATATATATATATATATATATATATATATATATATATATATATATATATATATATATATATATATATATATATATATATATATATATATTACTCTCACGACAGAGGGAACGAGAGTGAAATATAGATATTTGTTTCTGAACACAAAAAAATATATATATATATATATATATATATATATATATATATATATATGCTTCATTCATAACTCACTAAACAACTTAACTAAGCTATTTTCTTCTATAACATTGATATATAAAATACAAAAATTATTTTTTTTTCATGAAAATTGACCAATATATTAAAACATAACTTTATATCTTAACAATTGTATACATACACACATATCTGTCTAGTGTGCAAGTTTATAACTAAATATATATATATATATATATATATATATATATATATATATATATATATATATATATATATATATATATATATATATATATATGTGTGTGTGTGTGTGTGTGTGTGTGTGTGTGTGTGTGTGTGTGTGTGTGTGTGTGTGTGTGTGTGTGTGTGTGTGTTGAGCATATATTAATAGTTTTGTTAATTTATCACACATACTTACATATTACACCCCTGGCTCCACCAAGACCATAGCTGACTGTTCACTCTGGCCTGTGTGAGTACTGTACCTGCCGTGGTCTGTGTGAGTACTGTGCCGTGGTCTGTGTGAGTACTGTACCTGCAGTGGTCTGTGTGAGTACTGTACCTGCCGTGGTCTGTGTGAGTACTGTACCTGCCGTGGTCTGTGTGAGTACCGTACCTGCCGTGGCCTGTGTGACTGTACCTGCCGTGGTCTGTGTGGTACTGTACCTACCGTGGTCTGTGTGAGTACTGTACCTGCCGTGGTTTGTGTGAGTACTGTACCTGCCGTGGTCTGTGTGAGTACTGTACCTGCCGTGGTCTGTGTGAGTACTGTACCTGCCGTGGTCTGTGAGTACTGTACCTGCCGTGGTCTGTGTGAGTACCGTACCTGCCGTGGTCTGTGTGAGTACTGTACCTGCCGTGGTCTGTGTGAGTACTGTACCCTGCCGTGGTCTGTGTGAGTGCTGTACCTGCCGTGGTCTGTGTGAGTACTGTACCTGCCGTGGTCTGTGTACTGTACCTGCCGTGGCCTGTGTGAGTACTGTACTGCCTGTGCTGCCGTGGTCTGTGTGGGTACTGTACCTGCTGAGTACTGTACCTGCCGTGGTCTGTGTGGTGCTGTACCTGCCGTGGTCTGTGTGGTGTACCTGCCGTGGTCTGTGTGAGTACTGTACCTGCCGTGGTCTGTGTGGGTACTGTACCTGCCGTGGTCTGTGTGGTACTGTACCTGCCGTGGTCTGTGTGATACTGTACCTGCCGTGGTCTGTGTGGTACTGTTACTGCCTGCCGTGGTCTGTGTGAGTACTGTACCTGCCGTGGTCTGTGTGAGTACTGTACCTGCCGTGGCCTGTGTGAGTACTGTGCCGTGGTCTGTGTGACTGCCTGCTGTGGTCTGTGTGAGTACTGTACCTGCTGGGTCTGTGTGAGTACTGTACCTGCCGTGGTCTGTGTGAGTACTGTACCTGCCGTGGTCTGTGTGCTGTACCTGCTGTGGCCTGTGTGAGTACTGTACCTGCCGTGGTCTGTGTGAGTACTGTACCTGCCGTGGTCTGTGTGAGTACTGTACCTGCCGTGGTCTGTGTGAGTACTGTACCTGCCGTGGTGTGAGTACTGTACCTGCCGTGGTCTGTGTGAGTACTGTACCTGCCGTGGTCTGTGTGAGTACTGTACCTGCCGTGGTCTGTGTGAGTACCAGTACTGTACCTGCCGTGGCCTGTGTGAGTACTGTACCTGCCGTGGTCTGTGTGAGTACTGTACCTGCTGTGGCCTGTGTGAGTACTGTACCTACCGTGGTCTGTGTGAGTACTGTACCTGCCGTGGTCTGTGTGAGTACCGTACCTGCTGTTCACTAGTTGACACCCACTAATGAGTAATGACACAATTTAACACTTAATGAGGAATAATTATATAGTAGATATCAATGAAAAACTTAGGCCTTGGTTATATCTCAAGTGTGTGTGTGTGTGTGTGTGTGTGTGTGTGTGTGTGTGTGTGTGTTACATAATTCAATAGAAGGTGGCGGGGTGTTTGGTCTCGCCCCACTTCTAACGCATAGACTCAAAAACAACAAAGATAATATCACACTGTACATAGAGTTATGAAAAGGCCCAAAAACTGCCTAGTGTGTTAGTACAGTTATTTAGCATATCATCATCACTCTCTGGTGAGGACGGACCAATATAGCACTCATGACAGGACGGGAGACCAGAGGAGGTGTGACAAAGTGTGGTGATGTGGTGGTTGGTGTGTTAGGTGGAATAGGGTGGAGGGGGGATAGAAAGTGACTCAGATCTTAAAAAAAAAAAAATTAGTGTGGAGATCTGACAGTAAGGCCTATAACCCCCCTCTCATCTTATCCATCTGACACAAACACAAACAAACACATCTGCACACATACACAAAACAAACCTACCATAATGTCCACCTCTACTCCAGTTTCTTAGAGCTCTCGTGGTCTTAGGTCAACTTCTTGGCATGAGTAGTTGGACCTAAGGTGAACGACGAAGGCTCTACGACACGTATCTGGTCGTCTCAATAAGTGTACCTCTTGTCTTATAAGAGTTACATCTACCTAATCGCACCTTTGTTCTCTCTATCTGCTTCTCTCGACGTGTTCCTCCCCCCCCCTCCCTCTGTAACTTCACACACCCTCCTAACCCCTCCCTAGAGTAGAGGGATTGGCCCCCCAAACTGAGCCCCTAATCGGGGTACCAATCCCTTAACACCTACCATCCTGACACCATCATGTGTCCCTGTAAAGAAGACGCCTGTAATTATAATATTATAAATGTTACTCAAATATACTCGTTATGGAACCTTGGTTGGTTTTGTCTTGACCTTCTTCATCTACTGAATATGATCTGGCTGCCACACACACACACACACACACACACACACACACACACACACACACACACACACACACACACACACACACACACACACACACACACACACACACACACACACACACACACACACACACACACACACACACAGATTAGTGTTGTATTTTTGTTATAGTTTGAAGATAATTAATGATAATTACCTCCAACATGTGTATAGAGATTTGTATACCCAACGATATTAAGGATGGTAGGTTTTCAATACATCCAGAGACCGAGGAAAACGGTCTCTAATAACAGCAAACAGTAAGATGGTCTCTAATAACAGCAAACAGTAAGATGGTCTCTAATAACAGTAAACAGAAGGATGGTCTCTAATACAGTAAACAGAAGATGGTCATAACAGTAAACAGTAAGATGGTCTCTAATAACAGTAAACAGTAGGATGGTCTCTAATAACAGTAAACAGTAAGATGGTCTCTAATAACAGTAAACAGAAGGATGGTCTCTAATAACAGCAAACAGTAAGATGGTCTCTAATAACAGTAAACAGAAGGATGGTCTCTAATAACAGTAAACAGAAGGATGGTCTCTAATAACAGTAAACAGTAAGATGGTCTCTAATAACAGTAAACAGAAGGATGGTCTCTAATAACAGTAAACAGTAGGAAGGTCTCTAATAACAGCAAACAGTAAGATGGTCTCTAATAACAGCAAACAGTAAGATGGTCTCTAATAACAGTAAACAGAAGGATGGTCTCTAATAACAGTAAACAGTAAGATGGTCTCTAATAACAGTAAACAGTAAGATGGTCTCTAATTACAGTAAACAGTAGGATGGTCTCTAATAACAGCAAACAGTAAGATGGTCTCTAATAACAGCAAACAGTAAGATGGTCTCTAATAACAGCAAACAGTAAGATGGTCTCTAATAACAGCAAACAGTAAGATGGTCTCTAATAACAGTAAACCGAAAGATGGTCTCTAATAACAGTAAACAGGGTTGATATGACAAAAATATATATCAGTCTCTCTCTCTATCTCCTGATTATAATAACAAGAAATACATATAGTTAAGGCCTATCATTAACTCTCATCGAAGCTCTATAGCCCACGGAGGCTGCTGAAGTAATTGGCATTATAAGAAAATATCACGAACGGGAAAAAAAATAATAATTTGCTTTTGTTTATTTTCTCGTGTTAAAAATACTTCTGTTTTTATTTATTTATTTTAATTTAATTGGTGTTGAATTATGAGGTATCAAGTAAAGACGTTGATTGGATGGTAAATGTAGCCTTTATCTGGTATGTAAATGTATATATGATAGCATAGGATAGCAAGCATAGGATAGCATAGCATAGGATAGCATAGCATATGATGTAGAGTGGTAATACACAGCGGAGTACATGCTCAGTTAATGCAGCACACTACACTGTAAGTTAGCATAATCACGTACAGCATAAGGTAAGTTAACACAGCATAATACTTATTCATTTACTTATATCTTTTTCACTTAATAATAGCTTTATCATATTTTAATCTCTTTATGATATATGTATATGAGGTCATTACATAGGCCTATAAAATCCTATAATTTTATATCCGCAACATTATATATCCACATTTTTCTACCAAGGTGAATTTTATTTCTTGTTAAGCGGGTGAGCTGGATGGAGCCAAGGAAGTTTTCTCTCGGTGCGTCCGTCTTGGTGTCTCCAACGTAAATCCACCCCATTGTTATGTTATCTAATGTGTGTCGTGGATTCTGAGTTAATTGGGTCGTGTTGTCTTTGTTATCTTGTCTGTATAGTGTTATCTGTGTCGTGTTGTCTTTGTTACTTGTGTCGTTATCTGCGGTCATGAAGTTTGAGGTAAGGGATACAGTGTTAAATAAGGAGGTTCATTTGTTTACTCTCTCTCTCTCTCTCTCTCTCTCTCTCATTGTTGTCTCTTCCTAAGTAATTAAATAAGGCCTCTGGGCATTCTTCTTACTATTCTGTGTCATTTTATTTTCATATTTCTATAT